AACAAGCAGCCATCTAGCTCAGAAACATCCAAGTCCACATAGAAGAAGCACACCAGCTTGTGACCAAGAGGTGTCGAAGGGATCAGATATCAGGCATCAAAAAACAAAAGATCCTATCATTGTAAATGAGGGTGAGTGCAGAGTAGATCCTATCATTGTAAATGAGGGTGAGTGCAGAGTGGAGACCCAAAGCCCATCTGTAGGCAACTGGTCACCCCCTTACTGAAGGTTCCCGGGGAGATGAGCCAGGCAGGGTGGAGGATAGCAACAATGCAACTTACAACTTTCTCTACTTAAATGCTTCCTCCCCCAACTATCATGATCCCAATTCTACCTTACAAATCTGGCTAGACCAGAGGATGTATATTGGCACAGATAAGAACTGGAAACACAGGGAATTCAGGACAGATGACCCCTTCAGACCAGTGGTGAGAGTGGCAATACCTGGAGGGTGGAGGGAAGGTGGGGTAGAAAGGGAGGAACCAATTACAAGGATCTGTAGATAACCTACTCCCTGGGGGATGGACAACAGAAAAGTGGGTGAAGGGAGACGTTGGATAGTGTTAAGATATGACAAAATAATTCATAAATTATCAAGGGTTAATGAGGGAGGGGGAGGGAGGTGGGAAGGGGGAAAATGAGGAGCTGATATTAAGGGCTCAAGCAGAAAGCAAATGTTTTGAGAATGATGATGGTAACAAATGTACAACTGTGATTCACACAATGGATGGATGGTAATAACTGTACGAGCCCCAATAAAATGACTTTTTAAAAATGTGCTTCTGGAGGCTTTAAAGGAAAATGAACATGTAAAGAAGCATAATACAATTTATGCTGTAGCAAATTTGTCTGAATTAGGTTTAAGTGTTTATAGTGGAAGGCAGAATTTATAAAAACTTAGGGCATTCTAAGCAAGACCTTAAAGGGACTTAGTGATTTCTCCTTGACACATATCGTGAAATGCAAGAGGAAGAGATGAACTGTGCAAAATGAACTTAGCTTTGGAAAACTAGGCCTTGTACCCTAGTTTTCACCAAGGACATGTAATCTCATGTTAAAGAGATTAAGCCTTGACTGATAGATCTAGCCTACTACCACAGTAGAAAACCCACCAAAAGTGGGCAAATAAAAAACACTGCCTGCCTCTAGAACTCTAAATAGAGACAAGCCGAAGAAACTGTGTGTGCTGTCCTCCAATAAAGGACTATCCCTCGTGCTGCTTGGAGGTCAGTTTATAAAGTATTATTCAATGAGATCTTCATCTTAGAGGTCAGTTGGAAGGAGCCTTAGTTTATTCAATGAGATCTTTACCAGCTCAATTTTAGAACTTAACAGAGAGTAGGGCTTCCATGCCCAAGATAGAAAAACAGACATGACAGTCAAGGGGATGAGGTCACCAGCAGATGGACTTGTCAAAGGAGTAGAACTCCTGTCCAAATGGCCTAGGAGGGAGGAGCTGGAGGCCAATGGTCAACACCTAGTTTTGAGGGTGCAGCCAGTCTAGATCAGGGAACATTCCGCCTGAGGACCACTTAAGGCCCGTGAAATCATCAATACCAGCTAACAAGACACAACTCACCAGAGAAGCAATTCCAGCTATCTTACACCCACCCCTCTACCCCACCCCACCCAGCCTTTGCCATCAATTACAACTCACAGCGGCCCTACAGGGCAGGGTAGAACTGTCCCTGAGTTCCTGAAACTCCAGCACAAAGTCTCTTCTTTCTCCCATTGAGTTGCTGGTGACTTCAAACTGCTACCCCACGGTTAAGCAGGCCAACTTGTAACCATTACTCCACAGGGCTGATCAAATACACCAGACTAATTTTTAAGTCGGTCATTTTGCATGACCCATAATGATGGCTCTTGGTAGAAAAAAGGCTCCTCCACTCTGGTCTAAACAATCTGAGAATCGTATTTTCAAATTTTATCAGCAAATATAATAGTTCTGTTGGGTTTGGGACTTACATGGTATTTGCTGGTCATCCCTCCAATTTTTATTTTTTTTAAATCATTTATATATATTGTAAATATTTATCCCGTAACTGTTCCACCACTGTACTCTGAAGGCTGATAACTTGCATTCTAGATTTCACAGGTTCATAAAACAGGAATTTTGCCCCAATATCTCATCTGTACTTGATTCCTAAATTGAGATGTTCAATTTGAAGTTGGTTTAAGAGTTGGGGTGATGTGATGGAGTCATAAAGTATTTTGCATATAGGAAGGCCATGAATTCTGGAAGAGTCTAAAAGTAGGATGCTAATTGACTAAATTGTGTCGCCCCTCCCCTGCCCCAAATTGTACTGCA